GACCACACCATCTTGGTCTTCATACTTTCATACACGAGTTTTATTTATTTTTATCTCTTACTTACGAATATTCATATTTAGGGTAGGGCGCCATGGAAAAATTTTAATTGATAAAGGGCGCTGCGACTAGGAAAAGTTTGGGAACCATTGGATTAAGAACTCTTTCGAAATGCACGGTACTGAAGGCGATTTAACCTCATTTTTTTAAATTGTTTTTTTTGTCAGGGTTATCTAGATGCATGCATCATATCCGTAATCCTCTGTTATAGCAGTTATGATAATTTCCATCATAGAATCGTTGCTTTGGTATATTTATAGACTTTTAGCAGGCATTCAGGTCTCCATTTTCCGTGAAACCATCAATTTTAGCGCCAAACAACAGCCCATTAAAGACAAGGGTGGGGAGAGGGGGTATCAACGGCAAGACTCATTGACGATGCAGATTACGTTTCATGTGGAAGGTCTAAAAATGTACAAATTCCACTTTTCTATGTTGGAAATTATCCTGATTACTTTAGCATAGGACTTCAGATGAGGTGAACTCATTTGGGTCGCCCTGACAACATAACAAAGTTGCGAAAATGAGGTCGCTCCGCTTTTATATAGTGGAATGGAAAAAGCGACCAAAATAGAGGTCATGCAATCTTGGTTTTCATAATTTTGCTTTTCACTTCTTTTTAGATATTTATGCAATACGGCGAAACTTATTGACAAACTTATGCTTAATGGTAATGAGAAATAAAGTACCCCGGCAGACACAGTCGGTGGTGGGAATGACTAGAAAGACATTTATGGGTAATGTGAGATTAGAGCAAACTATAAATAAATCATAGTTTTACTAGTTCTGTAAAGTAAGCTTTTGTAGAGAAGGCAGCCTTGGGGATCCCAAGATGGTTTCGAGGCAATTGCCTTGTTGGTCGATGAGGCTCGATCGCCATCGCGATTGGGACCAGTGTCTTGGCTTTGAAGATAATTTTGATAGAACTCAGAATCATTTTATGATGAATAAATATTGCAAGGGCGAGCTTTTATAACTGGGTATTTCAATAAAAATATATAAAAAACAATTTAGCTAAATTTTAAACTACAGAACATCCTAATTCCTCAGTTTACTTCATCTATCCTAGTAGCCTCTCGTCTATTTCTTTCTTGATTTCAATATCTCTATTCCCTCCTAATTTGTAATTTTCAAGCTTTTCAAATGCATTTTAGCCCCTTTGCCAATTGATCTGAAAGAAGAGGCTGCTCTGCCCGCCTCCTTTGAAAGCGACAGCCTTCATCTGGCTTTGGAAGGACGACTGACACTACAATCGTCCAATGTCAACGGTAACGAAGGCTCAGACAATGGTGGAAGCAGTTATCGTGCCAGTGGTCCTCATTCCGACTGCGAAGAGCCAAGAATCGGCTATGACAATATGGTTTGGCAAAATGGCCAAATGGAAAGCCAATCTACATTTGGCTCCCTCAAATTGGGACTGAACGAAAGGGCAGACGAGCAATCGAGTCTGCAAGGCGCGGACAAATGTAAATTGGAGTCAGCTGTGCGGCAAAAGGATAAAGGGTATTTAAAGCGATTCAAACTAGCATAATCCAATCTAACGGAATTTGCTAGTCACAAATGAAGACTAGACCCCATTTATCCAAATATCATGGCATCCTTAGGATTCTTTTATGCTACCCCTACTTGTTCCAAGTTTTCATTCGACAATCACTAGAGGAATTGAGATTAAGATGCCCTGTTCGGGCATAAACCAAACAGAGACGTCTGTGAATTGAACATTCAAAGGAATTCTAGGAGCTAGTGATTGTTTCAGTTTTGCAAACTTTTATTGCGACCTACGTCACTGCCAGAGGGTCATGCTCTATGGTTGATAGGCTCCAGAATCGTCGACTTTTCAACCGTAGTAATATGCTGTGGCCGACCGCTGTCCTTCTCTCCCCACTGAACATAGGATGATTCAATGCAGGGTTAGTATATGAATCCCGTATTTTGGATTGTGAAATCTCCCTCAAAGGGAGCCGAGATACCTTCCCTGACGCCATGAAGATATCTGAACGTGCCTATTTTCATTACAAAAGGTTAGCTGTTTGAGCTGTCTGAATGCAGCTTTATAGGTAAACAGCAATTTGGCAATATCAGATAGCATAGAGGCGTTTGCAATAATCCAAATTAGATTAGTTTAATGTAGCTTACATTGCGGTTAAGGGCCGAAAATATTAAATGCTCTGCTAAAATGCATTTCAACATCTTTAGATAAATCTGCTATCGCCTAAGAGCAATTTTGTAGGCCGAAGCAACTCGCGCCTAATTCTCTAAAAGAGACAAGGTGAATTAAAAGATATTCATTTTACAATCAA